GGGATGGTAGAGAACTACTTCGGCTCATGCTCTAGCACAGATGTGTCCGAGATCAGCCCTGTAGAAACATCTGCAATCACACTGGGAATCCAGACAGGACCACAGGTTGAGGAGGACGAGGATGAGACGGAGCACGAGATGATCGAGAACGGTTACTACGAGGAAGGCGATGGCTACGCTTTTGTGAACGGCGTTGCCGATGAGGAGCAAAGTGAGGTTGGCGATGCAGCTGCTCAGGAGACAAGTCTTCTTTTTGAACAGCTTGGCATCGGATACCTTCATGAAACCAAGGATTTATCAAAAGCTCCTATCTGCTCCAACCTCGCCTCGAGCAGTGTTGGGCACAGCTTTGGAAGACCTCCCTGTCCCTCCACCTCCCTTTCCTCTAGCCTGCGGTGGTATGAATGCGCACCCACACCACAGATGAAAGCGTGAGTCATTTTGCACAATTTTTCTCATATCCAACTGTTATATACTTAATGCAGACATTTGTCTTGTCTCGCACATTATAATATTAATATTCATTAACTATTTAATTATAAAAATGCAGGTTTATTAAGGCCAAGGAAGAAATGAAACAGCTAAGGCTGCCTGGCTTCTTGTATAGTGAGGTACCTGAGCTGGCGTCCACTGTGCCCTACTTCAGCTTGGAGGAAGATGAAAGCTGTGAAGAAGGCATCCATCTCATAGTCTGTGTCCACGGCCTTGATGGTAGGAAACCTTATCTTATAGAATAAATTTGTTCCTTTTATAGGCTTTTTTTGTGTTTAAAAACATGTCTTATGTTCCTGTTATTGCTTCAGGTAACAGTGCAGACCTGAGACTGGTGAAGACTTACCTAGAGCTTGGACTGCCAGGTGCTCGTATAGATTTCCTAATGTCTGAGAGGAACCAGGTGAGTGTATAATCCCACAGACATTAGAGTCATCTGATATCAGCAATACTGATCTCCTGTCCTCTTTGTAAATCAAACACACCCCAAAACTTTTTTCTTTTAATGCAATACTCTTTTCATCCACAGAATGACACGTTTGCTGACTTTGAGTCAATGACAGACCGATTGCTGGATGAAATAGTCCAGTACATTCAGATATACAACCTCACGGTGTCAAAGATAAGGTAAAATGTTCCCTTCTACCCAAATGTAACAGCAGAAGAAAAAAAGTAGAGTAGCAGTGAGCTCTTCACTCCAGTATATGTGTTCTCAAAGCATAGTGTGCACCATTTTTCCATGCCTTAAGGCTCACATTATCACTCATATTGCGGAGGCGATGCATCCAGTTATTTAAATTTTATTTCACACACTAAAAGTGTGACAGAGGTGCACACATAAATGTTGTTTGGTGTCTTTATGGTCTCTAATTATTCTTGATTTGCAGCTTTGTAGGTCATTCCTTGGGGAACCTCATTGTTCGCTCAGTGCTAACTAGGCCTAGGTTTAAATGTTACCTGAGCAGGCTGCACACTTTCCTTTCTCTCTCTGGACCACACCTGGGCACATTGTACAACAGCTCTGCTCTGGTCAACACGGGTAAGTTTTAAAACATTTAAGTTTATAGTGGAAGGTGTTACAACTTCTAATTTTAAATATTTCACTAACTCGGTTAGTCATTTATCATTATTGTGAAGCCTGTTGAATACCTGTTAACTGTTTGTTCCTAGGCCTTTGGTTCATGCAGAAGTGGAAAAAGTCAGGGTCACTGTTGCAGCTGACGTGCCGTGATCACTCTGATCCTCGCCAAACTTTCCTCTACAAGCTCAGCAAGAAATCTGGTTAGCTTTGCAGTTTTTACCAAAGACATTTTAGGCTGTATTTTGAGATTGGAGAGATAACTTTTCTATTTATCTGCTCTTGAAGGTCTGCAATTTTTCAAAAATGTGGTGCTGGTGGGGTCACTGCAGGATCGCTATGTCCCCTATCATTCTGCTCGAATAGAAATGTGCAAAACTGCATTAAAGGACAAACAAACAGGTGAGTTGGAGCAATATTTCTGATGGGCACGCTGCTGTAATGACTTGCCAAGACAATTTGTGTTTGACAAATGCAGGTGTTCTAAATTGGAGAGGAGCAAGCAAGCAGAACAAGCATAATTCTATGGGCACTGACATACCTAACCACGGTCTGCAGTTTGACCCGTTTAATGTGGTTTCTCTGTATTATTTGCAATCGTCAGTCCAGTCTGTAAGTAATTGGACAGTGACAAACAATTTTTTGTCACTCTCCAAATGTCAATACTATTTTACTACTTTTTAAAGGTGATTGAGGGTGTTCTTCCTTCTGTCTGTCCATTATTTTGTTGTTTTTAAAAAAAAAAAAGGACACAAAGCAGTGTAGACTAAATCAGGATTGGCTGATTTTGTCCACAAACTAAATTGTTGGCCATTGTACTGTTCTACCCACAGGGGCTTAAATTGACTAAAGAATATCGATGGGACCAAACCTTGCCTTGTTCAGCCTCTTTCATTCTTGTCTATACCAGGTCCTGTGTATGCTGAGATGATTGAGAACCTGCTGCTGCCAGTACTTCAGAACAAAGACTGTAATCTAGTGCGATATGATGTCATTCATGCCCTGCCCAACACAGCCAACTCCCTTATCGGCCGGGCCGCCCACATTGCCGTCCTAGATTCTGAGATCTTCCTGGAGAAGTTCTTCCTTGTTGCAGGCCTCAAGTTCTTTCAGTAGAACTGCGGAAGAATCAAACACATGGATGGATGAGAGGAATGTGGAGCTAATACCTCACTGCATCTTAACCTTATTCTGATTATGATATCTCGATTATCTCTTGGTTTTTAAATAATGTATACTCACTTTTCAAAGACATATGAGCAAAATCACAATTTCTTTCATTTCATATTGGAATCATGGTGGATATGGAGTTCATTTTTATTTTTCTACTGCCATTTTTAAAACATTGTTTTGTTTTCTTGTGTTTGGGAAATGATTTCCCTCATCATATGCTATATTTTCAGTGTTATTTATGTATTATGTTTTTACTTTTAATTATTTTTCTCCAAGTTATTCAATTCATTTTAGATGCTGAACTGGAAATGTAGCTGCTACAAAAATGAAATGGCTGTTTTGGTGAGCCGGCCTGAGTCAAGTCTGCACATACTGTCCTCACCATTGCAAATGTTTTTCCACCAATGTTCAGAGACACTGCATTGATTTGCACCACACCTACATTTTACAAGCTTTTGTACTGAAAATGGTCATTTGTACAAGTTACTTTTTTATCAACAATTTTCCATCAATTTTTAATGGCAAAGATTGCATTTGAAATAGGATTGTCGCTCAAACTTTGCAGCCTTGGCTTTGATCTTAATACTTTACGCTGTTCCTTGCCATTGGAGCATTCTGCACAACATTTACCCAACCTGGTGTTGGGAGAATAAAGCTTTGCCTATGACATAACATTTTATTACAGGGGATTTAAGCAATGATCATGATTCATCAAAAGCACATGTTGGTAATATGAACTTGTATTAATGAAAGTATTTGGTTGGTATCATTTGGTGATTATTTATGTGTTTAAACTGGAAAGTATTGGTTGGAATTAAAAAATGTTTCTTGGAAAATTGTTTATATATCATCATACTCTACCATTAAATATGCATATTATGAAATTGGTTATATGACTTGTTTCTTTCTTTTGTTCATTCAGGATCTACCGTAGTCGTGTCACCCCTGATCTCAGAGCAAAATAGTTCTAAAGTAATTACTACTAATGCTGTCCAGTAGTATTGAAAGTGGAGTTTGTGCAGTTTATAAAGAAAAAAGTCACATTTAAATGAGCTGACAAATTTCAGCCACTGTTGGAACATTTCAGAAAGCCTAGTTTTGATTTATATTGATGCAAAGCTCTTCACATGATTGGGTTCTTTGTGATTGAGCACATGTAGCAGTGATAGTAGTCCTATAATTCTTTTTAGTGTTTTCAGTACTTGTTTTCAGTTTGTCACTGTGTTCCCATTTTTTAAAAACGATAAATCTACCATTCTTCCTTTAAATTTGTTTTTCTCTTTTTTGCAATGGATCAAATCACCCTGCAGATGGCAGTGTCATCACAGTACATTTATAAATGTGTGCAGTATTTTGCTTAGAACCTTGTGAAGTGTATTAATACTAAAGTTTAAAAATCATACTATTCCAGTGTCATCATTATCAATAATGGTTTCGATACTGGAAGTATTGTAATGTATTACTTATTAATACTCACATACTCTAGGTATTTGCATGATCTCAGCACTGTGTTAATGTAGGCTTAACTTGTCATCCCTGCTAAGGTACTGAAAAGTCTAAAAGCCTTTTTGCAATACACTGATTGGAGACTGCAATATATTTTTTAAAAGGGGATGATTACACTGACTAGACAAAGATAGACTGAGGCTACAAGGTAATAATGGCAAAGACTATTGGTTAGTGTATAAGAAACATTCTTTATTGAAATATTAAGCTCACAGACATACAGTATAGACACGTAAAAATAATAACTATTAAGTCAAAGAGAAACATTTCTATTCCAACATCCAAAGTAAAATTTGTGGTTCATAGCAGCTCCCCGTCTTCATTCACTGTGAAAGCAGATGATATTGAAAGCAAAAAAGTATCCGATTCAGGGCCATACATATTGATTAAAATACAAGATAATTAAAAACTATTTGATTTCCAGGGACAACCTAATGGCATTCTTAGACCTCTAATTAGCACGAGATCGCTATACCAACACAAAAACACGGGAGAGGGGGGGGGACTCTGTTTAGTACTGTATTGAAATATGATGATGTTTATATTCCTATATGGATAAAGAGAGTTGTGTATTTGTAGGTAATATATATCCGATAAAAAACTAAAACAATAAATGAATAGCACGTAAAAGTAGTACGAACAATCCCAACAGGGATTAAATCACAACAGAATACCCCCACAACTATCACAAATGGTATGGCTCAATCGTTTGCGCTTCACTGTGGTTGAAGTAGTTACAACACGCAATGGGGAGGGGGACAAACGGGTGTCCTCCTTACTTCTGTCATGTCTTTATTCGGATAAAAAAAGAAGATTTGTGTCTCTGGACGAGCTTTGAGAAGCCCTGTGAATGAAATTGGAACTCCTTCGCTTCGTATAATGTAATGGTAAGAAACTTCTGCCGCTTCATAGTTAACGTAGCTAAATGGGTCGGCAGGGTGAGTGATGCACTTGTTGCGTTAGGTTGTAACGTTAATGTTACCATCACATCCAACCTAACGCACACTTATCCCCCCCCTCAGGAAAATGTTATTACCACGATTGGGAGAAAATTGGCGTTGAAACTCTTGTTTGCAGATGATAGTTTCTCCTGCTTTGTGTCTTTATTTGAGGTATCTCACTCATACATATTTGTATTTAAGTATCGTTACGGGACTTTAAGTTTACGGCTATTAACTGGACCGTCATGTTGCGTTCAATGGCGTTATGCGAAAATCCTAGCTCTGGCATCTTTGATAATTTGGAGAATACAGGTGCAGTCAGAGAAAAATCACTGCCAAAGTTCATTGAACGCTGATATAAATGTGTCTGTCTGAGCCTAACAAATGCACTGCTCCCCCCTCTATACTGAAAAGCTGGCTTACCCTATTGTTTTCAAGTGGGGTGAGTGTAGTTGGTGTTGCCCCTGTTTATTCAGATACCCCCTCTTATCTTATTCCTGTATGGTTTTAGCGGGCAGCGAGGATCCCTGACACTTCAGAGAGCTCGCACGGTGCAGACAGAGGAGATGTTGTTTTTCCAACAGCCAGCAGTGTGCTCAGAAGTGGGGATTATGACAGTCTTGGAGGGGAATTAAGACATACAGATGGCTGCTCTCATGTGATGCCAGGTTTCACCCTGGTCAGCAACAAGCGGGATGTTGAAGACGTCAGCCAGCACTGTTTGGGCTGATAGTAAACTTGTTTTGGAGATGGGATGCAGTAACTAGCGTGGTTTATATTGTACTCTGGATTTGTGGCTGTGTAAGGTTGGTATGGTTTCCCCTCTGTCTCTAGTTGCTTAGCACTTCACCAGCTGTTTGTCTGTTGATATTTCAGGCCTATTTTGATGTTATATGGTAACACTGATAACTATCACTGTTTATTCTTGCTAGTGTTTGTGTGTTTGCTTTGTGTTGTTGATAACAGGTTATCTACAAAAAGAGGACAAGTGTCTAAGAATGCTTATGCATAAAAGTGTTTTCAGAGTCAGGACGGGTGCAAAAACAAACAAGAAAACACCCACAAGACTATCCAAACTCCTGTACAAAACATTTTCTTGTTAGAAAATCTGTCTCCAGTTTTCAGTCTCATTGCTTCACACGTGAATTGCTCCGACCCCTTTTTCCAATATCTCCGCAATCCAAAAATCCAATATAGTGTATTATCACGAAGTATTGGAATATATTTAAGCAGCATGTGGCACATTTCAGTATATTCACCAACCATGGCACCGAGCTACAACACTTTAAATGTGGAAACTAATTCTACCGAAGAAGAACTCCAAGACACAAAAAGTAGTTTATGAGTAAAAAGGATGATGTGAATACGTTATTAGCGTGATAATAGACTTAGGTGGGTCTGTAAAGCTTTTGTACCGTTTGCTACAGAGACTGTGTAAATGTACAGTATAGTTTGACTCTGTCATAAACAAGTCAGATGTTAAAGCTACTGGAATTTCAGGTTTTTGATGTCTGTTTGCGCTGACACACAGATGTGAGTGAGGATGTGTTTGAACATGTCCATAAATCATATTTGCTATGACAAATGTTTTTCCTCTGAGCCTAGAACATTCACTTTTGTAGTTCCCACCACTTGTTTTGTACGCTGAAAACGCCTATATAATGCTTTATTTAGTTCTGATTTATCAACCCCAGTGTGTGTTAAACGTCTGGAGAGTTAGGTGTAAACATACATGAGGAAGAAAAAAACACCAGTTTGTTTGATCCCTTACCATGTCGGTTGTTTGTTTTCTTATTCAAAAGTAAAATATCTTCTCCTTTTTTTTTTACTCAGAGGAGGTCGACACCAGAACAGGCTGCTTCACTTAGGGATCATTTGTTTTTGTGTTTTTTTTTTCCTTTTCTATTTTTACTGGTTATTGTCCAGAGCAGGATTTAAGGGGATCAGAGTCTGCGCGCGGCAGTAATTAACCTGATTAATTGATTCTGAGACGTTAATCAGATGAGCCTCGTACCAGTTGGGGCTCCTGGGTCAGCGTAGTGGGGCGAGCTTCAGGTGAGCTTTGGTTGCAAGTAGACTATCCCAGACCGGCATGAGCATTCGTTTTGGTAAGTTGAGCAATAATACAGTTTGTTTTTGTAATATTGTGCTGCTGTAGTTGCTGCTGGAATAGAAAAGGTTTGCACTAGGATTATCTGACTGATTGTTTCCACTTAATGACTATTATTAGGCTTAGAGTATGATAAGCTCATTGAATTTGCCCAACTATTTCTCTGTTTTTCAGTTCTACACTATTGTAGTGTTTGCTGATCATTTGGGTCAAGATGCTTTCGTTGAGGTCTTATTTGTTGAATTTCTTGCAGTTGTTTATTTGACCTTACACATGAATTGATCATCTTTTAAATTCCATTCTGCTGTCGTCGTCATTCACGTTGAACTGTTGTTGGACCATGGTTTTTAATTTCTTCGCTTATCTCATTCTGATGTCATCTGTATCTTTAGACACAATATGGACGAACTCCCCTGGAGCAGATAAAGAGTGAAGGATAGAGGAAGCAAGAGAAGACGGAGGCATTTCAACAGAGAGAAGGTACTTATCGCCGACGTACACCGCACGTCATGTCCACCTCGATAAAGCAGGAGAGAACCATTTGCGTTCTCCTCCCCAACAAAGACCAGCTGGACATCGCTGTCGGGGTGAGTGTTTAGTATCTCTCAAGCTGTCCTCTCGACTGTCACCGAGAGAGATCTCTACAGATGGTCAAAGTTGTGTTCGTCATTCCAGTGTTTTGGCCATACCACGTAGATTTTGTGCATTGTGAGTGCATATTGAATACGGACTTCTTTCTCTTTCCACCTGCTCCAGCCAAAGTCCACGGGGCAGGATGTTTTTAATCGTGTGGCAGAGCTTCTTGGAATCAAAGAGCTGCACTTCTTTGGCCTCACAGTGGTGAAGGGTAAGTTCACTCCTCATAGTCCCCTCAGCCACTGAATCTGAAAGGACACTACACGACATAACAGTACTGCCAAAAGGCTGAAAATATGATAACTGAGTAAGATGATAAGTTTTGTCCATCACATCATGCACACACAGTACCTGTACCACATTTCAGCAGTCAGTTACCTTGTAAACGAGAGCATCATGTTTTGATTACATTTTACTGCAGGGTTTTTGCAGGGCCACCATTTTGGTGGCATGTGTTTATGTAATATTGTGGAACACGTTTTCTGCCAAAAGACTTCCGCTAAAACAAAACCCCGAAAAAAGTCTGCCCTCCCAGTCTGCATAATTGAATGGTGTAATCCACTTTATCCACTGAGCAAAGTTCTGAACTTTCTCTTTCCTTATGTTCTTGTTCTCTGTCTTTGTACAAATACGTTGAAATGCTTTGTTAATCTTGTGTGGCTCACCACTTGAACAAGCAGCCTTTTGTTTTTGTGGTGTTGGTTCAGCGATCACTTAGGCCTGGATTCCTGCAATATTAACTTCATTAAGCCCGGAATGCACCCTTGCATTCCTCCTCTTCATTGAGGGGAGGGATGGATTGATGGTGGGAGTGGAGGGAAAAGATGTAGGGGGACTCGTCATGACACAGGCCGCCTTACTCAACTCTCACTCAAAGGCCTCAATGAAGGATGAGAGGTGAAGGAGTTTAAATGAGTCAGAGTGTGAATGAGACACGCTGAAAGGAGAGATGGACGGTTAAAGGAACGAGTTGTGAAACAGCTCGGCCAGCATGATTTGGCTACACAAATTTTAACAAAAGAGATAAGGTGCATCACATAGAAAATGCCCATGTCATGACTCATAGGAGCAGGCTGAGAGTGACACAATATCCTCGTTATCAGCACAGGTTATAAACCACCTTTTATAACTTTTACTAAAATATAATTCAAATTTGTTTTTGATAAAACAACATTAAGGTTGGTATATGATTATATTGCAGGCTAAATCAATGACTAAATGTCAGGAGAAAAGTTATGCTATGTTGCTATGTGTCTACCCGTCTCTTCACATGTTTAAAGAATGGTAAACCAACACAGCTCCTGCCAGCAGCATTTATCCGTGCCACCACTGGAATTAGAAAAAACAGATAGACATTAACATTAACTTTATTGTCACTAGCTTTCTAGTAGCGTCATTCACAAACGGAAGAACAAGGGCATTTTTCTTTTACCCTCATTAATCCCAAATTTTACGCTTGGTTACATAATTGTTTTGTTTGCTAACTAACTGTCTGCTTGTTTCCTGATTGTCTTTCTGCTTAGACAATGAGCACATATTTTTAGACATGGAGGAGAAACTGACTAAGTACTTTCCTAAGGAATGGAAGCAAGATTCAGGAAAGGTAAGGCTGCCTGTTGCCAAGGGTTGAGTAAATTAGGAGCATTTTGCTGTGACCCAGTCCCAACTGTTGTGCGTGTCAGTTAATTGGGAGGCACAGTTCAGTGGCCTACATGCCAAAACTTTTCATTTAGCATGACAAAAAAAAAAAAGGTAACACTCACAGGCCTCTTTTAACATGTCTCTTTCTGCATACAGGGATTACAGAGGAGACCGTTGCCTCTAGTGCTCTGCCTCAAAGTGCAGTACTACATAGAAAATGGTAGACTCATTTGGTATGTCCTTCTATGTTCTATATGCATCTTCCTCACTATTAAGACAAGCTTGCTTTATTTTATTGCCAATGTTTTTCTTTTCTTATATTTTTTTCATCCATCTCTGTCCTCCCTTCTGACATGCTTTTGTGTCCCTCCCTCTTTTTTTTTTTTTTTT